CAGTGGCGTAGCTAGCCAAATGGAACTGGTCATGCCCTCCTTCCGGAGAATAATATAGGCGTGGTCGGTTTCGGCCACGCCCATTTTTTTTTATTCAAAAAGTTTGTTTTTAAGTCTAAGATTTAAGACATAATATGAGATACACTTATTTTTTTCTTCTAAAAATATATAAAAGGGTTATATCAGATTAAATTAGGTTATTTAGTTAGCTGATTATCAAAATAAATTCAAACACACAGGGCAAATTGGTCCTTAATGAAAATCAACTTTGTGAAATCCACTAAGTTAAGCTCAAGCCCCACGTCAAGGGTTTGCCCATGCTTGAGATAAGGGTCTCTGAAACTGTAAAAGATAAAAGTTCTCTGCAAAAGTTCATATATATAATCTGTTGTCTGCTGCAAAGTTTTGAAAGTTCTTTAGCTCTTTCATAATATGGTATAATTGAATATATAGATCTGTTGGCAAATGCTGATTCCATTGATGAGCATCAAAATATAGTAAGAATGTAAAAGATAAAAGTTCTCTGCAAAAGTTCATATATATAATCTGTTGTCTGCTGCAAAGTTTTGAAAGTTCTTTAGCTCTTTCATAATATGGTATAATTGAATATATAGATCTGTTGGCAAATGCTGATTCCATTGATGAGCATCAAAATATATTAAACATGTAAAAGATAAAAGTTCTCTGCAAAAGTTCATATATATAATCTGTTGTCTGCTGCAAAGTTTTGAAAGTTCTTTAGCTCTTTCATAATATGGTATAATTGAATATATAGATCTGTTGGCAAATGCTGATTCCATTGATGAGCATCAAAATATATTAAACATGTAAAAGATAAAAGTTCTCTGCAAAAGTTCATATATATAATCTGTTGTCTGCTGCAAAGTTTTGAAAGGTCTTTAGCTCTTTCATAATATGGTATAATTGAATATATAAAGATCTGTTAGCAAATGCTGATTCCTTCGATGAGCATCAAAATAAAGTAAGAATGTAAAGGATAAAAGTTATCAGCAAAAGTTCATATATAATTTTCTGGTTGCTGCAAAGGCTGCTCTATTTGAACAAGAAATTAAGTCTTCTTGCTTTTGAAACAAATTTTTCAATAATTAAATCTTGCAATTTATTTTCCTCTGCAAGTTGTTTCAAAATATCTTTGTGAATCGAAATTCTACACAAAGAACCAAGACGTTCCTGACCCATTTTTTTTCGAAGATATGATTTCACTCTCTTCAGACAAGAAAATGATCTTTCAACAGATGAACTTGAAACCCCAATTGTCGCATTAAGCTTTAATAAATTAACAACTTCTGGAATGCTTGCTTGGAGGTTAAACAAATAAATAAATTCCAAGATCTCCATTGAGCTTCCTTTCTTGAAGTCAGGATCTCTGTAAATAAAATGCAATTGACTTTCCAATGCTGGCATATTAAAAAGGGATCCATACATTTTTTTCAAGAGATCTAATTTCTCAGCTGGAGCTCCAGTTTGCCACTCTGAAAAAAATGTGGGGTTGACTAAGTCTAAAAATGAGAAATCTCTGGAGTTTGAAAACCTTTCATTTAACATTGCTTTGATGCTGTCAATAATTTCAAAATAAAGTTGTTTATAATTATACTTTTTGTCTGACCTTGAAGATGGTTGGCCAACAATGTTCGCAGCAGAATTAAAAAGCTTGGCAAAAGCTTCATCGTTTCGCATCTCAGCAAGAAAAGTGGAAAAATTATCAATTTTCTGAATTCCATAGCTAAAGTCAGTTGTTCTATTTTGCAAAACCATAAAAAGTATAGAAGATTGCCCCAGTACTTCTTTAAACACCTGAACCAGGAAACAAAACAAAAAGCTTGAAAGGTATTGCAGAAGTCCAGCTGCTTGAGAAAGAGTTTTATCATCCCATCCTTGTGGACTGTCAACAAGGTCTTCGAAAAAGTCAAGCAATGCTTCTTAATTTTCTGAAATTACATTTATCGTACGTGAGCGGTAACACCATCTTGTTTCACTAGGAACAGGGATATCAAGACCATGTGCTCGTAGCAAAGATTTTCTTTTGGAGCTTACACTTGCAAAGCTGCTGAAAGCACCAACATTAGCAAAAAATACTTTTACACTAGAAATGGAAGATGCAGACTGACAAAGAACAAGATTCAATCTATGAGCTGCACAGTGGAAAAAATAAGCATAAGGATAGTCATCCCTGACCAATGTTTGAACCCCAGAAATATGTCCAGACATAACTGAAGCTCCATCATATGTTTGCATGATAAGTTTGTTTTTCAATGCTTCACCGTACCTATGCAGTAACATTTTTACAATTGTGCTTATGGATGATGCAGTTCTGTCTGAACTAACATCATGGAATTTAAGGAACCTCTCAACAATCTCACCCTCCTTGTCTAGGCGAATAATGCAGCTGAGTTGTTCTTTGGTGGAAAAATCTGTTGCTTCATCAATTTGGATACTCAAAAATGTGCATTGCTCAATTTCACGATCGATTTGATCTTGAATAACAGAATCTATACATTCAATAAGATCATTTTGTGTATCAGGCGAAACACCCGTAAAAACCCCCCCTTGGATATTCCCTCTTTCATGATCAGCTAGCCTCCCATGCAGCTGGCGTTCAAAGATTGAATCAAATTTTGCTAAACATTCCAATAATTCGCGGTAATTCCCTTTATTTAGGCTTGAATTAGATTCGTCATGACTCCTGAAAGCTAACTCCTGTTTTGCAAGGTACAAAACGGCTTCAATAATAATTTTCAACATGTCCCTGTTCTGCCTTACTTCCTCATTATGTCGTTCAATTTCATCCCTCCTGGCTCTTGAAAATAAAACATCTACTCGCTCACCTGTATCAAATGTTTTCCACATTTTATAGGAATCAAAATGGGATTTGGCCTTTTCGTGCTTTCTGCAGTCAGAGAGAAACCCACGCATATTCGAGTAGCCAGTTTCTGTCCAGGTTTGAGAAACACCTGGTTTAAACAATAAACATGGCCAACAAAAAAGCCTTTTCCTACTTTCAATCCCACATAGCCAGTCCTTTTTGCTGTACCATTCAGCCTGAAATACTCTGCCATTGCCATGAATTTCTAGCTTTGGCATGGGTCTTGGCTGCTGTACGATCTGCTTCTGGTCTGCACCTGTCCTTCCAGCAAATGACTTCCTCAACAATTGCGAGACAATGTCTCGATCATTTATAATCTCCTGAGCTCGAAGCTGTGCCATTACGTGGCAAAAGTTAAATTTTCCAAAACTTGGTATGGTAGCACATACACACACCAGACAACGTAAGTGAGGTTCACGAAAACGACACAGGGAAATGACATAGATCTATTATACTTGTTCATGGTTCTGATGATTATAATGATGGTCATGCCCTCTCGAAATGGCATGACTAGCCTTTGTTCTCTCCTGCGTCACTCCTATTGTTAGGCATGACCAAACATAGGGAACCAGCGTTATGGGCATGACTAAAACACAGGGTTTGGTCATGCTCATAGTTATGGGCATGACTAAATTGGAAACCCTCTGTTTTAGTCATGCCCGACAATAGATGAGCGCCTTCGGAGGGCTCCATATTCTTGCGTGGAACCATAGGGCTCCAAAGGTGAATGGCCTTCAGCTATTACATTAGGAGAATGGGACTTTATTTTTACAAAAATAAATACTTTTGAAAAATGTTTTCTTTGGAAATAGATGGTCATAACTGGCCCATACTGCTATAGGCCTCTAAATGCCCTAGCTGCTAAATCTAAACTTATTTCCAACTTATCCGCATCATGAGGAGAACACGCCTTTGATGACATTTACTCACGTCAGCTGATCAAAAGAAGGATGTCTTTGGCATTCTGTATTTCAGCCAATCTGATTCCTATTTCTAATAGAGTATATTGACTGAGAGGCAAACTGAAGAGGATTAATTCAAACATTTTCTGGACGTTCTGGACCTACGTGGCAAAAGAATATTCCTAGAGAACACCACAAATTTAGGATGTTTGTACCTCTTCGTCAATTATAACGTGAAGACCCAAAAACAAAATAAATCGTTGTAAGTAAGTATTTTTTACATACTTTGGTGATTAAAGGACAAGTGACACACTTTTCACCCTATCTTTTCATTAGCTTATAGATCATCATTTAGAAGTAAGTTTTCTAATCATGGGGCGCAGGGGCGCGATTTTGTTTGTATCACGTGACCCTATGAGTACATTGTGATAACTCGGAATTCCTGTATTGATAGAGAGTTTAGCGAAATGACGCGACAGGTCCAGACGAACTGAATTGTTTAGAAGCTGTTGTAAACGTTAATATTGCACTGTATACCAGTAGCAGCAATAACAAATTTATCACAATCTACGTCACGTGTCACGCGTTCATTTCCGCCATAAATTTGAAAAGGTTTTTAAGTAGGAAAATAGAAATCAGAAAGGAAAATTCTCACAACACTCTCCATACAGCATTTTACTATAAGTTAAAATTAAAAAAAAATTGTGGTGCCAAAAAGCGTGTCACTTGTCCTTTAATATACTTTGCCAAAGATTTTAGGTAAAAGTAGATTTGTTTTGGTGTAAAATCGAGGGTTGAAAATTGGTAAATTTTTGTATTGTCCAGGGCTTGGGGCGAGTGAATTTTGGCTAGTTATCGTTTATAGAAATTTGGCTAGAAATTTTGGCTAGTATTTCATAATGGGGCTAGTAATCGGTAAATCGTTTATTGCAAACTGTACTGAATGAAAAACAAAACAATTGACAGCCCCTCTTAAGCCACAAAAAGTATTGTTGTAGAACGCGACTTTATTTCGGCGTCCCTTACAAAAGACGACTTCAGATTCTCTTACATAAAGGATTCGATTTGTCTGTGCTCCTTGTCAGGATCCAAGAAAGTACGAAAGCTATTTGTTCGCTAAGATTGCTATCGTGAGCCCATAGCTGAAGAGATATATTACATGTAAGAAATATGCTAGAAGTGAGTATCGTATAGACGAGTCTATGCTACAGAGGCTATGCAGATCGTAAGGGCACAGCAAGCAACTTATAAGCATAGAACTCTGAGAGTGAATATATATGATGAGGATGGACGGCTACGAGAGTCCACGGGTAGGAAACAAGAGAAGATAGCACACGTTACTACTGCTCCACGAGATCCATCCACTCCCCACGCAGGTAACTTCTCGCTCAATTCTGTAGAGACTCTGCGGATGAGAGTTTAGAAAAGACTGATAAGGCTATATACAATCATAGATAAAAGAAAAAAAAGTACTAATGAGGATGCAGGGTAATGAATTATGATGCGGAAACTTTTATTTTTTCATTCAATTTAAACCTACAATAACAAATTTCAGCTATTACAAAGGTAAATGTGTGCAGATTCAAGAGCCCTAGCCTGGGTTCTAGCAAAAGAACAGAGACTAGTACAAGTTCCCCAAACAAGAGAAATTAACAAGAAAGAGGGAATATGCTATGGTCGTAGGCTACATAGTGAGAGATTTCTTGGTTTTGAGATCGATCAGTAGCAGAGATGTTAATTAGGTAAGGAGCGATTCTGGCACGCTTTATCTACGCAAGAAAGGGTGAGTGTACTCTGGACATTTAAAATGTAATAGGAGTGAGCGGGTTTCGCATAGATCTGAGGGATCGAGTGTAAGAAGTACGGATTAGAGTGCGTTGTATATTGTGAGCCTGATTGAGAGGAGAACTTTGATTCTCGCTGATATCTAGAGCGATCATGATGTCTCGCACAGCGGTGAGAGGACGAGGCCGAGAGCGGCATCTCGAGGCAGATTCTAGATAGATGTATATATGGATATGAAATAGAGGAGACAAATAGCCCGAGATTTATGTAGGCGCGATAGCGGTTTAGGCTGCTGAAATGAAAGATTTCGAGCTACATTTCTCTTTCTTTTGCGTTAGCACATTAACAATCCAAGTTAGTTTCGAATCCTCACTGTAAGCTCGAGTATGAATTAGTCGTGCGCAAAAGTACAATAAGGGTATGTACAATATAACGGGATTACTTGAGAAGGACGGGATAGAGTGCAGCCTCCTCCCTGCCACGGTGAAGACGACTAACTGAAAGGTCTGCGTAAAGAGGCATTAGGTACTAAGGTGCTTTCACGCGCACGTTAGAAGGATTGCCGATCCAGAGTTCTAACCTGGCGCCAGTTGTAGAGGCTTCCTTTCGAGGGTGAATCTGCTCTATCGTGGCTATATGTGAGAGAGGAGAGGCTCTAGCGACGTTAGTAGGAGTGTTAGATTGACACGCCTCACTGTCCAGTAAATATGTCAGACACATGCGAAATACATTTGAAGTGGATTGGCTCATGCTAGCCAAATAATGGTGAGAGATGTTGAAATAGAGGTCGTAGAATGTGAGCAGTACCGCTGTGTTCCGGACTCACTATAGGGAGATGCGCAAATATGTGTATCATTAGAGTGTTAAAGATGAAGGAAGAACCGAGGAGGATAGGATTATGAAAACTGTGCGTTCTGTGAGGTAAAGAGTGACACGTAACAATTTCCTCCCATTTCCTTCACTGACGCCACTATAGGAATGAATCGGGCTGAAGGTTTATCGACTTAATTATACGGTAGATCAGGCGATGGGATGACTGCAAGCCGCGACTACGATGATCATCGAACATATTACGTGTCGACTAGCGCTTTCGCATAGGTTGTATAGCAGAGCACAATAGTGGTCGTCGGTATCCCACATGGGTCTGTTCCGGCTAAGATGACTGATGCATAGTATGTTGTTGAGACGATAACGACTCGTAGTTTATTGAGGAATCATTTCACTCCGATGTGTACAGAGGTTTTTTCTTTTATTATTAAGTGGCACAATCTATAGACTCACCCGAGTAAGATTGTCAATGTTGTGAATGAAGTAGGACGCAACTGAAGCTATGAGATGGTGTGCGGCCAATTTCTACATTCATATGGCACGATTGAAATTCACTAGAGTACACGCTCAGTAACGACGAGTCGAGGAGCCATCCTTCGGAGAGTATTGTAGACCAAGTGCGACAATGGCTGCGCCATGCGGGACTAGTTGTGGTCTCATAGAGTTGTTCGCACTCGATTAGATCACATCTATCCTCAAGACTTGAGTTATTACAGTGTGAGAGACTATGGTCGGTTTTGTGTATAGAGGTTCTTGCATCTGATGACCTACTCACATCGTGGTCGTGGGGGGCAGCACACACGGTGGAGCTCGAGAAGGGCTCTATAGAGGAGATCTGTCTACACAGCGCACATAGCATCGCACGATGTCTCTCGCACACATCAAGCGGTCAGATGAGAAGGCATCCGTGATTGAGCTGATAGCGCTCGTAGGCAGGGACATCACGGGCGCATTCTGTCACTGATCGCGGGTGTCAGCACGAACAAAACACTATGTATGTGTTCAGCTGATGAAAGGTTTGTCAGCTTTAGGCTACGGATATACTGTGGCAAATCCTGTATCGTATATGTCGATATCTAGAATTGTCTCTAAAGGCTCCATTGGGGTATGTTTTCAATTAACGACTCGGACGGAGATGATCTCAGACTTGGAGGGATTGTGTTAACTACCACCTAAGGCGCCGCGCTTCTTGAAGCAGAGTCGCATTGTTAGGTGTATGGGATCCACCGAGTACTGTTACAGTGAGCAGAGGGTCCTATATGCATGCACACTAGAATAGATTATCTTCGCGGACAAGCTCGTGTGGCGTTCGCTAACACTGATGCGCACAGCTTAGAATAACAATAACGGCAACATTGGGCATCACCTTAGGTAACCTGCTGTATGCTAGCTCGTGAGCGACAAGTCCTTGATAGTAAGATGTCTACCAGTCCCTCGCGTTGTGCTTGATGGTTTCAGTGAGTGCTATGGATTGATGCGATGTGGCGTCGCAGTGTAGGTCATCAACCAAGTGAATTTGTTGAATAGCAAGACTTTGACACGCGGAGGACCCTCGCGCGTGATTGTGTGTATCGCAAGCGAGGCGTGCCTGATAACGAGATCACCGATATATACTTCTTGTTGTAAGTTGAGAGCCTCATGTTGAATAAGGTAGAGCGATGTGCTGCTGGTAGTTAGGGAGTTATCTACGACACCAAGTTAAGAGTAGCACACTGCTATATATAGTTGTGTATATGTTCGACTGACGGTGTGAGTGTCGCATATCTGAGAGATGTTGCGTTGCTGTATAGATTTGGTTATCGTAGAGTGAGTTAATTTGGCAAGTA